CTAAATATTGCTCTTAAAAAATTGTAATTTAAAGTTGTTTGAACCATGAATAGTGCTTACTATGTATGATTGTGGTTGGAAAAGTGGCATCATGAATAATATAAAAGTATTAGTCTCTATAAAGGCACTATAGAATGTTGAATACTTGCATGGGGGGGGGGCAAAGCCCCCACGTTTTTATATTCTAAACGGGGGTGGTGGTCCGTATAACTTTTTACTTACCCCCCTTTTAAAATATAGTCCGGCGCCACTGAATTTCTCACCTACTCTTCTAACAGCTTGTAGATGAGTATAATGACAAGCGGCCTCCGCATGTCTTAAAACAACACAAGCCATAATTAATATGTAATAATATATATTATTAAAAAAGAAAATATGTTTGTCTAAATGTAAAAGTACAAATGAGTAATAGACCATTAAATAGTTAATGAAATACAACTTACTGTATAATTTCATTGTTGTAAATAGTTCTTACAGATGCTGTTGTATTGTTTGGGTGAAGTCCCTTATTACCAATTGCTTCTCTCAAGTATGGTACATGTAAGTCTATATTGTCGGGCCGATGGTTGTGAGGATTAATGAGTGAAAATCTGTTGTCCATAGCATCTCTACTTACTGATGCCATACCGTAATACATTGGATGTCAGCGATTTTTTTGCCTCTCACAAACTAGTGAAATGGTGTTAACCAGAAGCTCACGTTTGTAGTTTTTGAATTTCAAATTGTCTACATAGATAGTTGAATGAATTACGTCGAATTCCGGGGAGTGTTCTGTATGTTTCTGGCGGTACTCCTCCAACTATAACATCTGCAACTACAGATACATCTTCTGCTTCTTCTTCTTCCAAGGGGAGTCTCCATCTTCTTCTATGGGTTCTTCCTCTTCTTGTGGTACACCAGGTATTACTTGTTCTTGTTCTTCATCTGCTTCACCATCTTCTTCATGTTGGGGCAAAATCTCAACAAAGGGCATTGGAATGTCGTGAGGTAATTACAAAACTTAATTATTCATTTTTTGGTTAAGCATGTGTTCCTTTTATTTTACATCTTAACAACAACTGTTACGCACACATCTTAACAACTGTTACGCACACACATAATAAACTAACAAATTAATAGTAAGCTTAACACAAATACAAATACAGTGTTGCCAACATCATAACACCTTAATCCTAAATTTAAAACATCATTTTAATAGTAAACGCTAAACATAATATTGTTACAGAACTCAACATAAATCTTATTCAAATATTTTACAAAATAATCATATACTTAATGTTAACAAACAATATCTTTTTATTTAATAATACAATTTAAAATCATTTTCCTAATACTTTTCTACTTTTTTTTTATAAATCTAAACGTTTAGGTGACTTCTTGTTTCTAACTGGCCTAACGTTATTTTGTATAACTTCAGGTAAACTAAATTTATCATTAACATTAACATCTGTAATATTCTGTTTCTCTTTTTCATCAACTTTTTCACTAGCTTTTTTAATTTTTAACTCCTGTGTTTTTATCTCTTTCTCTTTTTCTTTAACTTCCTCTAAAAACTCTTTTTCATAGTTTTTTATATAGTCATCATACTTACTAAATTCTTCCAACTTAATTATGTGATTTATATGTCTTCTCCATACTAACTCTTTATCTTCAAGTCTAACTATATAATTTCTGTTTCCTAACACTTCTTCTATCACTGCCTTTTCCCAATTTTTTTTATTTGGATTAGAAAAATCTCTCGCATAGACTACATCTCCTTCCTTGAAAACTTCATTTCTAATAGTTTTATTTTTATAACTCTCAGTATTTTTCTTTATCTTTGAATGTCTTAGAAAATCTAAACGAGTTTTTAACTTTCGCCCAAACATTAATTTTGCCGGACATTCATTTGTTATCCAATGTGGTGAGTTTCTATACATGAATAAATATCTGTTTATTAATGTACTCACAGTCACACCTTTATTAATTTTATCTTTTAATGCCTCGTATATTCCTCTTTTAAGAGATTTAACTGCGTTTTCAGCTGCACCATTTGTAGCAGGATGAAAAGGTGGTGATGTATAAAATACAATTCCATTTTGTTTACAAAATTCTATGAATTCACTAGAACGAAATTGTGGACCATTATCAGAAATGATTTTATTTGGTAAGCCAAAACGTCCAAAAATCTCCCTCAGTTTCTCAATTAAATACCCACTATTCATTTTACTCATTTCTATAACTTCAGGCCACTTTGTAAACGCATCAATCCATACTAAATAATTTTTGTTATTTAAATACAAAAAATCTAAATGTACTCTGTCTAAAGGACTAACGGCTTCTGCCCACTTAGCTTGCCTATCTACTACTGGACTAGCCTGACATGATACACAGACTTCACAACTTTTAACATAACTTTCTATTTCTTTGTCAAGTCCAGGCCACCAAAAATAAGATCTGGCAACCGCTTTCATTTTTGCAATACCTGCATGTGTGCTATGTATCTCTTTTAATAAAAATATTCTCAACTTATTTGGAATAATTACCCTATAGCCCCACATAATTACACCTTTTTCAATATTTAGTTCACTTTTTCTAATAAAATAACCTTTATATTCTAAATCAACTTTTTCTGGCCACCCTTCTTCAACCCAACTATAAACTTTACTTAGTGTTGTATCTTTCCTTGTTTCTATTTTAATTTTCAACACATCTAAAGGTATCATTCCTTCCACAAAATCTATATAACTGTACTCGTTATCATTTTCATCACTTTTAATTTCCAATGGTAAACGGGACAACCCATCAGCTGCACAATTATTTCTGCCTTGCACATATTTTAATTCATAATCGAATTCTGACAAAAATAAAGCCCAACGTTGTAATCTATTTGATGCCATACGTGGAATGCCATTATGTTCCCCAAATAATGCTAACAATGGTTTGTGGTCCGAACATAAAATGAATTTTCTGCCTAATAAATATTGTGAAAATTTTTTTACACTCCAGAAAATAGCTAGAGCCTCCTTTTGTATCACAGCATATTTTCTTTCAGCTACCGTTAATACCCTTGAAGCATAACTTATAGGTTTTTCTGTTCCATCAGAAAAAACATGAACTAAAACAGCACCTACCCCATATTCAGAAGCATCACATAAAAGTTTTATTTGTATTTCAGGATTAAAATGTACTAATACCGAATATGATGTTATTGCTTCCTTGGACTTATTAAAAGCTTCATTACATTGGTTTGTCCATTTAAATGTTATATTTTTTTTTAATAGCGTATACATAGGACCCAACAGTGTAGACAAATTTGGAATAAATTTGGCATAGTAATTAATCATACCTACAAAAGCTTTAACCTCTGTCACATTTTGTGGTATTCTTGCTTCAACTATAGCTCTTACTTTATCTTTATCTTTCCTTATTCCTTCCCCATCAATTACATGTCCTAAATAATTTACTTGCTTTTGAAAAAAACAACATTTATTCACATTTAGTTTAAAACCCGCATCTAGTAATCTTTTAAAAACTTCTCTCAAATTGTTCAAATGATCTTCATCGTCTACTCCTGTTACAATGATATCATCCAAAAAATTCTTTACACCTTTTAAACCTTGTAGGACTTTTTCGATTACTTGCTGAAAAATTGAACAAGCCGGTTTTGTTCCAAAAGGCAATCTCTTTACTTTATATATACCTTTGTGTGTACTCCATGCTAATAACTTTTGAGTATCTTCACATATTTCCAATTGATTATAAGCGTTTATAAAATCTAACTTACTAAAAAATTTTCCTTCTTGCAAAGCTACAAACAGTTCTTCGACTTTCGGTAATGGGTAGTTATAATCTTCTAAATACTTATTTATAGTTGTCTTATAATCTGCACATAACCTTACTGTCCCATTTGGCTTAATCACAGGCACTAGAGGTGTACCCCATTGGGCATTTTCCACTTTCTCAATCACATTTTCTTTTTCCAAACGCTCAAGTTCCCTTTCGACTTTTTCAATATATGCAAATGGAATAGACCTTGGTTTACAAAAAAACTGGCATAACTCCTTCTTTTATTTTTAAGGTAATTTTTTCTTGTTTATACTTTCCTAATTTATTTTTAAACAATTCCTCAAATTCTTTTAACAATTTTTTTACACTAAAATCTAAATTATTTACTGTAATATTTGATACATCCACCAACTGTATACCAAATAAACTCATTAAATCTCTTCCCAATAGAGCTCTACATCCATTTTCTACTATTAGTAAATTACATTGTTCCTCCTTATTCTTATATTCCATATCAACCATAACTTCTCCGACTGGATTTATTATTTCTCCATTGTATGTTTTTAATTTAATTAAACTAGGAATGACTTTTAATTTAGACCAATATTTTTTATATAATTTAAAAGGAATTATAGATCTTCCTGCCCCAGAGTCTAATTCCATATCAATGTATATTTCTTCAATTTTAATTTTCACAAAATATGGCTCTACACTTTTTTGATAACCTACTTTTAATTGAAACATTTCTACTGATTCTGACTCAGTTTCTACTTCTACATAATGGTTTTTTGATTTGTTTTTACACATTTTAGCTAAATGTCATATTTTATTACAAATTTTACGCTTATAAGTTTTATACTTACAATTACTAAACGTATGGTTACTTAATCCGCATGTAAAACATTTTCCTTGACCTGCTGCTTTACTGTTGTCTGAAAAGTCTGTTGGTTTTTTCTTATTTGTTATTTGCCCATATTCTGATGCTCCAACTTTTTTCTTGACATCCTTTGATATGTTCCATTTTTTTACTTTGTGTACTTCCACTGGAACATTTGATTGCATGGTTACTTCTTTCTGCATTGCTAATTCTACTATTTTGTTTAGCTCTTTAGATATTTCTTCTTCGTATAACCGGTCTTTAATTTGTCCATTTCTCATACCAGTTATAAACTTGTCTCTAAGAACATCAATTAATCCTTTTCCAAATTTACATGTGTTGCCGAATTTTTTATTCATGCATACCAATCCTTTACGTTGTCATTAGAATTTTGTCTTAAATTATAAAATTCTTCCCGCTGTCTAAAGACTGACACTTTAGGAGAGAACTGCCTATTTAATATAGTACATAGTTCCTTATACGGTCTTTCGGATGGTATTAAAGGGTCACACAAATCTTTTAGTGTCTTGTATGTTTTTTCCCCAATACATGTAATTAACAACGGTACCTTGCGTTCCTCCGGTATTGTATTAACTAAGAAAAATTGTTCCATTCTTTCTTGATAAATTGACCAGTCTCCATCCATTTGGAACTCCGCCAATGATCCAATAACACCCGTCATCTTTTAGTTGTGTTCTCCTTGAACTACCTTGTTTTGCTGCACGTGGTACGTCACCTTGACTACCGTCTGCCTTCAGACTCTCGCTTATAGCCTTTAATTTGATTGACGATTTGTTTATTTTTTAACGCTGTATATTTATCTTCGTCGCCATTTGGAATGTCGTGAGGTAATTACAAAACTTAATTATTCATTTTTTGGTTAAGTATGTGTTCCTTTTATTTTACATCTTAACAACAACTGTTACGCACACATCTTAACAACTGTTACGCACACACATAATAAACTAACAAATTAATAGTAAGCTTAACACAAATACAAATACAGTGTTGCCAACATCATAACAGGCATTTGTTGGATCTAATCATGATCTTGTAAAATTACTGCTACATCTGGAACACCAACTTCTTCATCATTGTGGTTGCCTGGAATGACATTATCGTGATCTCTCAGCGCCATTTCAGGACGCGCTGCTAAAAAAACTTAAAATAATATTAAACAAACAAAAGTTATTTATAAATTATAAGTTAAAAGTTAGTTTAAAAAAAAACCGTTTCTGATTGTTGCAGTTGAAGGCAGGTGAATCAGGGTTGGTCTTAAAAAAACCGTTTTTTGTTGTCGCAGTTGAAGACAGGTAAATCGTAAGGAAATCAAGGTACAGAAAATAAAATAAAATTAGTATTTGTAACACAGGTATTGTACGCGCCGAGCCGTTGTGCATATCGCTTATTTGTGCGACGGTGACCGTTGTCCACTTTATCTCCCGTGCATCCATACCCCATACATTCTGTCTAATTAAACATAATTATAATTATTAATTACCATATTTACTGTCTTTGTTTCTGTTGTATCCTTTGCTTATATGTCAAATGTCTTTGTAGATTGTTCATATTATCAGTGTCTTGTTTATAATCTTTTCTGTATCATATTTTTTCTTCGCTCTTATATGTTCGTTCGTCTTTTCTGTTCATTCGTAAAAATTTGTTATTACCATTTCGGCACCCTTTTTTTGTTCTTTTATCGTCGCCATTGCGGCACGATCATCGAGTAACCTAAACACTGTATCGTCGTGGGCTAATACAGCCACACATATTTCTGTTCAAATAAATATACAATCCACCAACAATAAGTGAGTTCTTTTTTGTTTCTTATTATTATCTGCTCCTCACCAACGTGTGTGCGAGACATACCATATTGTAAGTGGGCCATCACCCCGTCATTCCTGCGAGACCGTCGACTCTTTGTCGATTGCTGATAGTCGTTGCGAGCCGCGTACGCGGTCTTCACGTATTGGTTCGCCCAGTCCGCATAAGTCCGCCAGCATCCGGCCTGGTGTGTGTGAGGCCGCCCTGGTCTGCCAACTTGCTGCGCCACTGCTGCGTAAGTCCGCCAGCACCCAACTGAGGGTGTTTGAGAGGTCGTCCAGTCGCGCCACTCACCGACGAATCTATCCGCCCACTGCACCTGCCTTAATTTTAATTAACATTAAGTAATAGTTTGTAAGAAATGCCCGATTATATGTGAGCCTCGTCGGTCATTGCACCTCACCGAACTGACCAAGAGGACAACCCCACCCAACACTTATTAGACTGAATTTCCATGTTCCGTTGTTATAAACTGCTTCCGTCCTGTCATAACATCCGTCATTCCGCCACAGGTTGCCGGTTCTACGTTTCAGGCATAGCATCAGGTCTGATAAGTTGCCTACCCACTCAGGTTTAAGGGGCATCGTGAACATGTAAAAGAAGTCTTGCTTAATACAATGGGTTCGCATGAGTATTCCGGAGAAGTGGTGGAACTCGCTGTGAAAAAACATGTTACTACTCCTTTTACCCGAGAAATTGGTGTTTGTGACAATCCCACGATGTCAATAGCGCTGTGACGTCGTGTCAAGCCTAATTGGGTTGCACAATTGTGAGTTATCACGGAGACTTGTGATCCTGAGTCTATCAGAGCTCTGCAGGGAATCCAATGTCTGCCCTTATCCTGAATCCGAATGCTAGCCGTCCCCAAGACACTCAAATTTGTGCGGCTGACTGTTCCTATGTTGACCGTGGGTACATCCTGACCTTTCGATCTGTCCCCTGAAGTCGAACTGGAGGAGCTGGGTAGATTCGAGGACCCTTTTGTTTTATATGTGTCCAAATGAAGCAATGAATGGTGTTTCGCGGAGCAATGACGGCATGAATACTTCGATGAACATTTTGAGGTGTCGTGTACTGCACTTATGCAATTTCTTCACAAATATGTGTCTGTACCGTTTTGAGACGTGCAGGCACCTGTTGTTGTATGAATTTGTCACATCGATACAAAGGGTGTGGTCCATTACAAACTAAACACGGTTTGTGGGACTCTGAAGCATTGGCTAATAAGGAAGTCTTCACGAACGACGAACCCTTTTTTGTGTAGGAAGAAGGTTTGTTCTTGACTGGTGATCCCCAATTGGATGTAACTGCACTATTTTGGAGAACCTGACATCGAGTCTGTACGAACGTCAACAATTCATCGATGACTGGTATTGTCCGATTATCAAATAAACATTTTGTGCTAGAGTCCAATACCCGCGACGCGAGGTAAAACTACAAGAAACCCTCTTTGTCTGGAACGTCAAAGCTTCTCAGGGCGGCGATATTTTCTTGAAAAGTGTCCAAAAAATGTTTCAAATCGTCCAACGACGATGAACGCAAGGTGGAGAAGCTAAACAATTTATCTAAATGCGAATTCATGATAAAGCGTGGGTTGTTAAACATGTCAAGAAGGGCCTTCCATGCGACGACAAAATTGGACGCTGATAACGGCAGGGAACGCACGACAGCTCCAGCACTTCCACTGACAGCGGACAACAAATGATGATATTTTTCGATGTCTTTTATTTGTGAGTTATCATGTACTAATGATTTGAACGTATCACGAAAGGCGATCCATTGCAAGAAGTGACCATCAAAATAAGGAAGCTCAATTTTCGGTAATTGAATATGAGAACACTCTTGAGAACTAACGGTGACCGGAGATACCGTCAATGGAACATTCAAACCTATTTCTTCAGTGACTGCTAAGATATTATAATGTTGTTCCGATAATGCAATGTCGATCGGTGCATGCGTAGTGTGGTATTCACTTACGCGTTGCAACTGAACTAACATATCTAAAATTGAGTCCTGTTCATCTTTGAATTGTGTGAGAAGAGAATCAATGTCGCGTTTTCGAGCGCGGAATAACGGAAGAATGGCAGCCGAGTTATGAACGACATTTTTCGAAAGATCATGCAACAAACTCATTTGTACAACGAGAGCATCACGTTTTGCGATAGTACGTACTAGAAGGCGTTCTGCACGTTTGGTTTCTGTAGGACTGAGAGGCATGGCTAACTAATATTTCGACAAATATATGGAGCAAAATGCCTGAACAAAATAACTACAGATTGGTAAGACTAGTGGACTGTATTATATTTTTTTTTCAATGAGTATCCGGCCAGAAGGACCAAATGTTTGGGCAGCAGGTCCGAAGTATGGAGATTACGGTTTCCTGCTCCACCGGTATTTGTAAAAACGTGAACCGTAAGAAAAAAGGAGACAAGAAAGAGATTTGATGACACGATGTAAATTATATTAATTTTATTCTCCTACCGTCTTACAACTATAACAGCTAAGTGGCTAGGGTTGGGAGCTTATGACTTAAAATAAATCACTACAAAACAGAATAATAATATTGTAACATAGGAAAATAATAATATGGGTAACGTTACGTGACCCTGGAATGAAACGACGTGGAGTGTTGTGACCCGTGAAATGGTTGACGAGCTCACGGCGTGAATGACGGCAGCACCGGTGGACAACTCGCGTATGCAAACGCTCGGTATACGAATCGTCGATAATCGCGCGATGCAACGGCGGTCCTACCGTGACAGCAACCGGTACCGTGCGTGCAGACGACGCGGCGTGTATACACCGTGTGCACGGTGGTAAGCGGACGAACACTGCCGCGATAACGAGACGCAACGCGACGTATAAAGAAAAATGATTTATTGTGTTCCGTTACGAATGAGCGGATAAAACTGTCGGAAAACGATGCTGACAGCCATGCATAATAACGAGCCACGGGTGATGTTTTATGCCTAGGCGCAATGGATTACGCACGGTAGATAAATGGTGTAGCGATGATAACACACAACAATTGATTTGCCTAATATTATGTGTGGTGCGAGCCTTTCGAAGGTGGCTATATTTTATAGCAAAATGTGAATCAGGTTATTTTTCTGAAAATGTTGACGTATTGTAATCGAAATTTGAACGAAAACTTTCAGAGTTATTCTTCTTCAAATACCAAGGAATAAGGATAATAGATGGACTATTATACGAAATGCTTTCTAAATGGATATGAGCTGGATAGTTGTAATTCGGCATGCAATATAAAATATTCGTTAACAATTACTAGTTACTAAATTCTTATGAATTAATATAAGACATTAACACCTGACAATTTTTTTTAAAACAAAGGAAATATAAAATAATATCCTTTTTATTTTATCGTGTATGTTATCTTGTAACCTATACATATTATAGGTATCGTTTATTTTTATAGCATAACTATTACCTAGAATAAAATACTAAATAATTGTCAGAAGTCGGTAACACAAATGTGAATACGTAGTAATCAGTTAATAATTATAAATACATGTAATAGAAATAAACATAGGCATTACATAGCTATCGATATTTATACACGTCCAGGAAAATGCTTCCAGATTACGCACTTGCTATAATAATAAGCGTAAAGTAATGTCAGATATCAGCGTTTAGATAAGAAATGATTGACAATATTGTGATAAACATGGTTTAAGCAGATAAGCCACAGACCACTGGTCATAGGCAGCAGCTGCTACTGTAGCATGACTTAATTTGTCATGGGCTGTAGTAAGTTGTAATCTGTCCGAAAACTGATAACAAACCAATGTGAAAAAACCTATAGTACATTTTTACAGTGATGCCCGCTTGGCCGTTTGC